CAAGGGTAGTAGGGAGTGAGTTTAAGGTTGAGCCTGAATTAGCAGGATTGTAAGGACTCATATTTTATCAAAAAATCTCCAGGCTGAGGAATTCTAAAATCATAGTATTTGAACCTTAAGTAAATAATACACTATTACCACTGAAATGTTTAAAATGAGACAAGCACATACTTTTTTAAAAAGCAGATAACTAGTTTTCCCCTTATAAAAATATCTTTACTAAGTGAGTTCATCATCGTCATGTATGGAACAACCCACATGTTTCACAGTTCAGTATCTCAAAGCACAGAAATGTAGACGCAGAAGAAAATCATTTTCTGGAACTTGGAGAAAGCCCTTCTAAGAATTTAAAGTGTGAATCACTTAATTCCTAAAAGCAAGTATATATGGGACCAGCAGTTAGCGTAATGGCTATGTCGCTGGACTCCCACGTAGTCGACCGCGGTTCGAGTCCCGGACCCGGTGGCTTAAACTCACGCCGGGCACGTGTGCGTGCGTGCCCAAGATCCCGAGAGGAGAATGGAGGAGAAGGGATTGCAGCGTGGCCATCCCCCCTGGGGGGTGATTTCCTGCTTTCTATCTCTCTGTCTCTCTCTGTCTGTCTGGCGAGCGCACGCGCCCTATAGCAAAAACCTCTCAAAAAAAAAAAAAAAAAAAAAAAAAGCAAGTATATATGAAGAAATCTTAACCACAGCATAAATTTCACATTTTCACAGATTTCCCAAATAGCAAAATATTATTTATTCACATCTTAGATATTTTTTTCATTTTTGGAATAAAAATAAGGTGTAGGTCTTGATTTTTTAAGAACCATTATTTTTACAATTTCTCTGATAATTCACAAATGTTTACAACAGATGGATTTTTAAATAACTAACTCTAATTAGGTTGGAATCCTAACACTAGTGCTAAAAAACATCCTTACAATACTCGTTGAACTCATTCAGTTCATTTAGCTCTATCTTTCCTTTCCTCGCTTATGTTCCCTTCTCAACTCTGTAACAATCCTCTATCCAAACTCTACATAAATAAGCATAGTTCTTTTGGGAAACTAAAGTTACAATTAAAAGACTTAGAGATGGCCTTAACTTCAATAACTCTAATCCTATGGTTGTAGTAATCAATAAACAATAGAAAAACAAAATGTGAATGGAACAAAATAAATGTCTTAGGAACAGGGTCTATTGTTAGTGCAGAAATTCCATTTTTATAATCCTTTAAAAGCACAATATACTTGTTGAGATATTTAGAAGTACCCTGGCTATACCATCTAGTCACATTAAGTACTGGGTTGTCATAAAAGTATGACCCATTTTTGCATAGAAAAAACATAGAAAAATATGTCATGACTTTTCCAACAATCCAATAATTACAGGGTAGAAACTGAAAAGTAAGAAGAAATTAAAGAATAGAAAATATTATGTATGCATCATCAACTTCATTTGGGATTCTTTGTGTTTCATAAAAAGTGGGAATGTCAAAAAAGGTGGAGGTGTATGAATTGAAAGAACTTCAAATTGGAAAAAGACATAAACTGCAATTATATTCACAAGGCTTATTTAGAAAAACACCTTGAAGCAAACCACCAATATTAATAAAGGAGGTTATTTGTTGACTACATTTTTTTATCTCCCACTAATTAGTTATGCTTCAGAGCTTATTAATTAGACTGCTTAGCACTTTTGACACCCAAAAAAATTCTGGACCTACCAAGTAATTGCTTAGAGGCAAGGATCCAAAAGAATGAAACTGTAACTATTTCTGGATCCAGAAACTCTAGTTAAGTTTAAAATTATCTTCTTTCTCTATCTTTCAACTGGCAAATGAATCAGTGTAAGAGACAAGAAGGACTGATTCTTTCTCCTATCAGACTAACAGGGAAGTTTCCATTCAGGAAACGGTGTCCTCAGATGTGAGGGAAATAGGGATTCGGTTTCTAACCGATCTTTTCAAAATTCAAGGAAAAAATTATTTTTTAAATTTTTTTATGTTTAATTTTTTATTTACATTTTTTAAATATATTCAATCACATTATTTAGCTTACAAGGTGATCATTTCAATATGTGAACATTTCTCCCCAGTCGAGTTGATCAAAATATAACAATATTGCCTCCCTGTCTCAACAATGCTGTCTCCCCGTATTCCTCCTCCAAATGTTTTTCCCCAGGCCCCACTCCTCCACACACACCACATCTGGCATTCACACCCATCTCTTGTGTTTGTGCATCCTTTAGCCCATCGGTTTCAGTTATAGAGTGCGGAAAGTCGGTATATATTAAGTGGGGACATACAGTGTCTCTCTTTCATAGTCTGGCTTGCTTCGCTCAGCAGTCAAGGAAAAAATTATTAAGCATGATGAAAGAGACATATCAATTCTAAAAGTCACAGTTGACAATAAACATATAAAATTTATGAACATCTATGCACCAAAAAACACAGAAACAAATGTTAGAAATCTTAAACTACAGGAGATCAAATAAATACAGATAAAATGTTAAAAATAAAAAAGTTTAACATGCTACCCTCAGTAAAAGGACAGATAAAGAAGACAAAAAAAGTAAAAATATAGAATATCTAATCAACTTAATAAAATAGAACATAAAGATTGTGTGTGTGTGTGTGTGTGTTTGTGCATGTATCTCATACCTTACACTTTGTTCATGCTTGCAACTTTCCTTTAAACTCACAATTATTTGAAAATCAGTTGCAGAAAATAAAAAGAAGTAGAAATAAATGGAAGAACAGAAAAGGAATAAACAGTCATAAAAATGTCAGGTATCAGGCTGATAAGTTATTTTCTTCCCTCCCTCTTTCTTAAAATACTATTAAAGCATTCTGAATGTTAAACAAAAATAAATAACTAAATAAAATCCTAATATGACCATCATTTAAGTGAATGAATTTTTTTAGAGACTCATGGAAAAAAAGAAAGATTGTCATAGAAATGCCCACATAATTTAACTCATTAAGCTGAGATCTGAAAAAGTCTGAATACCAAGATTTTTGAGGAAGAAGAACAAAAAGTGCATACTCAAAGAAATAAAATTTGACAGATATATGATGAGACAGGTCCAATACCCAGGGGCCCTGTGTTCATTTTTACTGTGTCATTGGGCAAAACCAGTCACCATTTTATTTTAAAATGAAAGGAAAATGCATTTTGTCTGTCTCACTGAGCAAATGATTCCATTTTAACAGACCCAGCCTAGAGGCACTGTACCCAGGGCTTTTTCCAACCTTCTTCTAGAAAAAGAAGCTACCAAGGTGAAGCTATAATGAAGAAAATGGGGCAAAGCAAATGACAATGAATCTACAGCTGATGTAATTTATCATGAAGGTACTCACTTTTATGTAATATATTTGAAGTCTAGTTTCTCACCCACTATTAACACAGTCAGAAGGAAAAAAAAAAAAAAACATCTGTTCGGAGCTTGTATTTCGTCTTTAAGCAACAAAAATGGCTAGAGAGTGGGATATGCCTCATTTTACCACAAAGGATTATTCAGATGAAATGTACACTTTTTTGGAAATATTATATATAACTCCTTTATTTATACTCCAGTAAATGAAGCAGAACCACCACCAGTTAGCATCAAGCACACCCACAGTTCTGATTCTAAAATGTTACATATTTTTCCCTTGGGACAAAAAAAATAAATAAAAAATGGTTCCTAGAAGAAATTTAACAGTAATATCATTTTTAAACAGTCAAACAGGAGGCTTATCAACAGTGGGGTTCAGTCATTTGTAACCCTGAACCATGTTCTATCACTCACATTTTTCACAGAATCTGTTTTCCCATGAAGAGTCACTTCTTCTCAATTCTGTCTTTTTCAAGTAATTGGGCTTTTTGAAATCAGTTTTTCATTTTTGTGTTATATTTCACTTTTGTAGTTTCTAAAAACCATCAGTCAATCTTTTACTTATGAGAATCAGTGGCATTCAAGCTACGGTAGGTTGATCTCAGTAGCTAAAAATCCAATAGTTTAAAAATTGAGCTCATTTTTCATGAGGCAGAAGCTGTAAAAAACATGTGATCAAAATGGAGTTGACATTCTGCAATTCTAACTTATTTTACCTAAGAAGAAAACAAGGGATGATTCATCTCTGACCTCATTATTGCTGCTGCTTTTATTTTTTCTTTTTCTTTTTTAATCTATGTGGATTTCATGAACCTGCTGCAGATATTTGAGAAGAAAATTATCTAACAGGCCATTTGGCAATATATTTTTTACCAAATTGTATTTTACACTGTCCTCAAGCATGCAATTTTTAAAATTGTGTCACTTATAATCACTCACTGTCATTTGGTGGTGATTGGTAGTACAACTATCTACTAGGTCTCCTACTTTTAGAATAAATTTATCATTAGCCAAGTAATTTTTCCAATTTAAGAATATGATGAGATAGGACCACTTTCATAAATCAAATTTAATTTACTTATATTGCTATTATTCCTTTACAATGGGTCAGACTTAATAACCTTCTAAGCAATTTCAGCTCATTTCTTAGGTCTACTGTGAAGAGAAAGAAAGATCTGGAGTAAGATGATCTTTACTAATGCCCTATGCTCTAGCTCATTTACTAAGTAGGCAAATCACTAACCTTTATTAGGCCTTACTTGGCTCCTCTCTAAACTGATTTGATTGCCCCTCTGAAACTCACACCCCAGGTTATTAAATTCAAAATCATGTCACAAGCCATTGTCACACTTACCAACATGGAGGTACAAGGCACCTTAAGTTGTCATCAGTTCTACCCTAAAAGGTACTATTACCAAAGAAAGTTGAATCAAATCCTCGAGCAGCCCATTAGGCTATGACCAATACTAATGCTGTCTGCTGAAGCAGCATTACTAATTTTCACTTAAAATTCATCACCTCATTAGTGACCTGATCTCCAAAGTCACCAAACACAGGATATTTCTCTTTAGAAACCTGAGAAGCAGTATCTCTAAAACTGTTAAATGTTTGCTACTACAGTAGGAAAGTTCACAGTACCTAAAATAGCCACCACCTCATCATCCTGGATGACTTCCAAGGATCCTGACACCACAAAGCAGAGGGCATCCACACTTTCTCCAGCATGGTAAATGAGGTCCCCAGGAGCACAGTGAATGGTTTGGAATTCTACGGCCAAGGCGCGCAGACACCCGTCGCTGGCCAATCGAAAAGCAGGATGTTCATTAAAAACCTTCCGGTTTAGATGAACACAGATATCAGCTCTCATGTCCTTGGGACAGATGGAGAGGACCTGAAGAAAGTGAGAGATGAGTAAGTGAAAAGGAAGGAGCAGGAGGCCATTTCAAAAAAAGGAAAACACAAAAACCATCAAATAAGTATTTATTGACTATGACCAAGTCTACCACACACTATACTATGTTCTGAGAAGGCTAATTTAACAAGAGACATCTTCTCTTGCAAGCAACTAATAATCTGGCAAAATTTTTGGTGAGCACATGGACCTTAATGATATAGCACCATATAGTAAATGCTTCGAGAACAGTATATAATGAAAACAGTCTTCAGGTGGTCAAGAAGAGTCTCAGAAAAAAAGTTAATATTATTTCCTCAAAGAATCAACTAAATTAGGACATTACCATTTATCATATCCTAGCCAATGTCTCAGAATTTATTTTACTGCTAAATCAAATTTCAGGATTATGAACTTCTGTCCATATTGGAGGTAGATTCAGATGAGCTAGCTTCGAAAAATTGAAATCAACATAAAACCCTTGCAACTTGACATGTTGGCCCTGGCTGATACAATTTCACTCCTGATGTGTTTTCTTTACTCTGAATGATTTGCCTTTTTCAAATGAATTCATGTCTAAGGAGTGAAAAGGGTATTCACCAGCCTTCTAGAAAGCTTAGGCAACAGAAAATGTCAGTGTCAGCAAGGTGGGCACGTCTTTTTGCATGGCAGTCCTTGCTCATTCTGTTCTTTGACTCCTCAAGACACCTGAGGGCTACAGCAGAATTTAGGCTCTAGACATCCTTTAGAAGAGGGAGCAAACGGCAGACACATGCTTACAGAGAAGGGGTAAAGAGATTTACTGACCATAAAACAATCAAAACCCCATATTAAAATGCACATTATCATTTTTAATCAGAACATTATTGAACAACAAGTCATTACAAAGTTAGTGGCATTCATTTTAAAAATACATGTGCAAACTCATTCAGAATCCTATCCCAACCAGCTTGGTAAACTGATCCTTATAATCAGAAATGTTTTTTCTTACAGGAATTCAATCCCTTAAAGCTGAAGTCTAAGTCAATTTTCCCCATTAAGTTGTACTGCATAATATTTTAATATAAAATAGCTTTCTTTTCTAATTGTACTTTAAGCTTTAAAGAATTACCTAAGCCTTGAACTATCCCCTGACTATTCTTTTTATTTAGTGCTCATTATCAACAAAAAGATGATTTCTCCCCTATGGAGGTGATGAGCCCATCATAAACGTAAAGACCATTAGTTAAATCATGCTTTCAGTATCCTTTCTCTTACCCCTTTCTGATATTGCACACATTATTCCATTTCCCTTCATCATCTCTGTGAGTTTTTAGTTTTTCAAACTCTCAAATTCCTATAGGCAGCAAAGGTTAGCTCACCTACCATTCTGAAAACACTCATCTTTTAGGAAACAAATGCCTAACAGAGCTTTAAAAGTAATTGGCACTTCCTTTCCACATCAGTTGTTTTCCATATTAATGTAATATTTTATTTAATATATTAACCTTTAATGACTTCAAACAATATTAATCATTCAACAGGCATGTGTTAAATTCTATAATGGGTTACTCCACTGTACCAAATCCCTGGAACTAGAAGGATAAATAAGACATGGTTTATGCCTTAGAGGAGCTAACCACAAAGTTCAGGAGCTCAGTGTGTAAGGCGTCAGTTCTAATACAATGAAAAATGCACTGTGATGGAGTATGGCCAAGGTGACATGGGAGCTGACAAGTGCTGCTTGGGAGTCGTCACTTAAGACTTAGACGTAACACAGAAGATCAGACTCATGAGGGCATTCTGGGTTCACATGGATTCATTTTAGTAATTTCACATCCTTGTAAGTATTTAAGTTTCATGTTGCAAATGAAATCTTCCAATATTTGCCATACTCAATGTTCAGTGAAATTTCAAAAGAGAATTTTCATTACATTCTATCTTTCCTTTCTGTCTCATTTCCACTTAGATATTAACTTGCTTATTATTTTGATGAATGGTATCATTTCGATTATGGTCCAGGAGCCATAAAGTGACAAGTTCTAAGTGTATTAGATCAACCAGGGTCACGCCAAGTGGCAAGCTCCTTCCTCGTCCCTCAGTAAGACCATGTGCCTGACATGGTGTGCCTGTCATTCAAAATGAAGATACTAACAACTGTCTTAAGTGGGGCAAAATTTAGTTTTAAGTGATAAGAAAAAATGTCATTTGACACCTATAACTCACACCTGGCCCATTGCTCCCACTTTCAATATCATGTAGAATTTCTTGTGGGTAAGCTCCCTACTAGATATCTCATGGTTACAAAAAAAAATACATTTAATAGAAAATTTTCAGGTTAAAAGTGACTTTTCACTTCAGAATTGTCACCTCTTCATATCAAGACATTAATAAATTTAAGTTGATTATGAAGACAGGTATTAAATTTTCCCTTTAGAAGAGCTGTGGTAATATATTAGGAATTATTTTTCCAAATTCTGCAGACCAACCCTGAAAAATGTCTGAAAAAGAAAAGTTTTGTTTATATTATGTATCATATTAGTTCCATTAAACCCAAGGTCAAGAGTAATTTTAGCAGATATCCTCAGGCTCAAAAGCTCTAACCCCAACACTGCATCTAAAGAGGTTTAATAAAACACAAATATGATCATGTTATCTCTGCTCTTTGAAACTATCTGATGATGTGCTTTCTCACCAAGTACACTTGGTCCTAACTGAGCACACAGGGCTCTTTCTGATTGGAGCCTACTCCACTCACCTTCCTTACTTCCTTCCATCCTGAATTCCAGTCACACCTCATTTCTCACCACTCTGAATGTGCCTCTGCCTTCACACACTCTGTTGCTTTTGACTGGCATATCCCACCATTCCTTTCTCTACCTGGACATCTCTGATTCATAAGTCAAAGTACAGACCATCCCTTTCTGTCATAAATACAATTAATATACAGTTCTATCACAAATCTAATAATGTATAGAAGGTATTTAATGCGAATAAGAGGTATTATCATTTGTAGTTTTTGTCATCATTTTTAACAGTGGCCCAAAGTAGTAACATGGAATTCTAATTATCACCGGAAATTTCAAACATCTATTTTCAGGCATAAAATCATTCTTTAGCTTTTTTAATGGAAACTTCCTTACCTTATGCTCACTATGTAAAACAGAGAGACCCAGCCATGGTAACAGATGCAGTGAAGTGCCAGTGTGTGATACTGGGCCATGTAGGAAGAGCCTACGTTTGCATCCTAGGTCCAACTAAAACTCTGGGTACACCTGTGACCCAGGCTTGCTGGACAGCTAAGGGGAGAACTGTCACATGACAAGATCCTTTCAAAGGGTTTTCTCTCTCTCTCTCTCTCTCTCTCTCTCTCTCTCCCTCTCTCTGGGAATAAATTTATGATTTCAAAGAAAATAAATTTTAAAAGATACAAGTAGAATTATGCTGGAGAGGACAGCCTCCTACCCTTTTGGTTAAGAGCCAACCGCACAGCTGACTGTGGTTTGACTCTCAGTTCCAGTGGCTTGAAAAATGCATCAAAAACATGTGTGTGAGTGCCTCAAATCCCAAAAGGATGAATAAATGGAGAGAAAGAACCTGCAGCATAACCACACCCCACTCAGCGGTGCTTTCTCCTCTCTGTCTCTCTCTGGCAAGCACATGTGACTTATGGCAGTGAATTTTAAAAAAGGATTATGCTGGGAGAAAATCTGATGGGAAGACAGACTCCTAGGGAGTGTTAGGTAGGTTAGGACACATGAAATTGTTCATTCAACTCACAGTTATTGAGCACTGGCTGACTGCTAGTTGGGCGTCCACCAGATCCATGAGTAAAAACACTCATGGTACCCTAGGCTTTCAATGAAGCACAGTTTGAAAAACCACTGGTCCCAGTCCGCGGTCCCATTTTATAGAAAAAGAAAATATATCTTATAAAGGTTACGTGATTTGCTCAAGTTCTCTTAGCAAATTACACGCAAAACCCAGAATTCTTTAGTTCTACCTATTAAGACATTCTCCTTAAGTGAAGTTCAACCAGGAATAAAATATAATATCTGACACCATTGGATATTTCTGGATTCCCGATGTACTATAAATATATAAATGCTAGTTTCTGAAAAAAATCACTTAAGTTCTAATTAATCAATTGTTTATTCATTAGGAAACCCTACGAACACCACCATGAATATTCTAGATTTCACTACAAATTTGTTTCCATTTCTAAACACTTTTTTTTTTAATTTTGGAGAGGTTTTTGCTATAGGGCATGTGTGCTCACTAGAAAGACAGAGAGACAGAAAGAAAAAAATCACCCCCCAAGGGGGGATGGCCACATCACAATCCCTTCTCCTCCATTCTCCTCTTGGGACGTTGGGCACTCATGCACATGCCCCCTGTGTGAGTTTAAGCCACCAGGTCTGGGACTCGAACCACAGTCAGCTACATGGAAGTTCAGTGAAAGCCATTACACTAACTGCTGGTCCCCATTTCTAAACACTTTAATTTAAGCTCCAATAAATGCATTGCATCCTGGATATATTTATAAAGATGCAAGGACTCACTGATACGTTGCATTACTATTTGCCAAGGGGAGGTTATCATACTTGAAATACAAGTTTCCGTGTATATATAGAAAGGGCTTAAGCGATGGGCAAGTGTCACTCTCCTTAGGTCCTCCCTCTGTAACTTCCAACCATTATGGTATTAATAATGTTGCAAAACTTTAAAGAGAGTCTAATTATGATAATTAACATAAAAAACATTAAATCAAGATCATCTAAGAAAAAAAATGACTAGAGAGAGTAAAAGAAAAAGGCTTTATCCTCTCATTCATTATTTGAATACACTTAAACTGTATTTTAATATTTATTATACAAAAAATGGAAAATCAAAAAACCACAAAGAAAATAAAACAGTTCCATTATTTATATGTATTTATGTACACATACCATTTTTATAAAACATGAATCTATAGCTTTATATCCTCCTATAATCATTCAATATCATATTA